AACAAGACTACACATGTAAATCCTCTTCTGGTACTGGTCACTTAGAGAGGCATCGCAAAAAGTGTGAAGCTAAGCATGGTGTAGGTGGTGTTGATTGTCGTCAACAAACACTTCAATTTAGCTCTGATGGTCATATGACCAACAAAGAGCTAGAGAATGGCACGCTAGATATTTGGCTAGTGCTCAACAACCAGTTAGTCTTGCAGATGATCCGGCCTTTGAGGAGTACATTCAAAATGCTTATAATCCACAATATAGGCGTGTTTCAAGAACTACCACAAGAGCTGACACTATGAAAGTATTTCATTCAATGAGAGAAAATTTAGTTAATGAATTTAATTCATTCACCAAGGCCATTCATGATGTCATCATGGAAGTTTTTGATTTTTATGGCATTAAAGAAAAGGTTTTGAGCATCACATTTGACAATGCATCTGCCAATACTGCTGCGATAAACCTTTTCAAGACAACTTTGAAACCACAACATGGTGGAACACTTTTTCACCAAAGATGTGCTTGTCATATTATTAACTTGTGTATTCAAGATGGCATGAAATTTTTTCAAGGTTATTTGGAAAATATTCGAACAACCTTGGGTTAGGTAGCAAGTTCTGGCTCTCGAAGTGAAGAATTTCCTAAACATTGCAAGAAACCCAGAAAACTTCCTACTGACGTGGGACACTGATGGAATTCAACATATTTGATGTTGAACGCATGCCTACCATACAAAGAGGTCATAACCACGTATTACAACTTGAAGAATCCAACTGAGCCGCTTCAAGAAATTGATTGGCAAATTGCTTCATGCTTCTATAATTTCTTGAAGGTTTTTTATGAAGCCACTCTCCAACTCTTAGGTGTGTATTATCCCACCTCTCCTCATGCATTACATAAATTGTACGACATTGCTGCAACCTTCGATATGCATAGAGATTTTGACATGTTTAGGGAATCTGTTGAGTTCATGGAACAATAGGGGAAAAACTGAAGGTGCATTCTGACATCATAACCATTCAAAATGTGCAAGTAAAAGTTAACACTTTATTTACTGCATATAATGAAAAATATGGAGGTGGCCAAACAATGTCCCCTACACCTTTAGCGAGTACTACATCTGTACCACACGGTTCTTCATGGGAAAGTATGATTAGCTACACCGGATTTGGTTTCGGTGCGTCATCCACATCTTCAGCACGTAGTGAATTGGAAAACTATCTGGAAACAAATTTTGCGGCATTCATTTTCAATGAGCAAGGTGGTGGTCATGATTTCAATAAGTTTGATATTTTGTCATTTTGGAGATCATAGTCAAGAACTTTTCCTGTGCTTTCTAGAATGGCACGTGATATACTAACCATACCAGTGTCCATAGTTGCAAGTGAACAAGTATTTAGTTGCAGTGGTAGAGTACTTGATGAACGGCGTGCACGCTTGAATGACGATATTCTGGAGGCAGTAATGTGCGTCAAAGATTGGGAGGATGCTCGCAGAAGAAGCCAACAAGTTCAAGATGATTAGGTTGATGATTTTGAAAATTTAGATATTTCTGATACTCCTACTGGGAGCAATACATTGTAATTACGAACAATATCTATTTTTTAATGTTTTTTTTCTTTGTTTTGGTAATTTTGTAAATATCTTATGTATAATTATTCTGATTGTACTCTTTTTTCCTTACTAAGGTTTTATCCCACTGGGTTTTCCTTAGAAAGGTTTTTAATGAGGCAATCGTAAATAAAATATATCTTTTCATATTCCCATTGACTATTCAAACATTTATTTTTGTTAACTTGTTTAAAAATAAAAAAAATTAAAAATTACATGCACAGATGGGCTGGCCCATTTAAACCCATGATGGGCCAAGATGGGCCTTGAATGGGCTAGCCTATCTAAACCTATGATGGGCCAATATGGGCCGGCCCATTCAAGGCCCACGGCACGGCCCATCCTGGCCCACGGCACGGTCCGGCCTGGCCCACGTAAAGTTAGCACATGGGCTGGGCTGGGCCGAAGTAATTTGTACATGGGCCGGCCCAGCCCGGCCCATGGCCCACGTGGACCTAAGAAGAACGGGACGGGCTAGGCCGGGCCGGCCCGTTCTTGCATCTCTAGGAGTGAGCTCCAAAATAGAAAAAATCCCTTTGACCAGAGGAAGCCTTAAGGGCATAATAGTACAAAAATTCCTCAACGGTTATGTCGAGGCTCAAAAATTTTCTCCACAGGATGACCATGGAGTTTATTATTACCCAGTTGTTGGATGACAGCTGGGCAGGGGAAATCCTGTGAAGGCCACAAAGGACCTTCATGAAAGGGTGAAAGGGCAAAGTCTGCCCGAAACTGAGGGACGGCTTGTATATGGTCATATAGCGGGGATGAGGGTTGTGAGCCCTGTCGTTGGAGGTTGGGATGATTAAGTAGAAGTGGCTAGCGTCGATCCCTGCGTCATTGAAGGCCTTCAGGGTGACCTGGGGTTTAATCTTCGACGGGTTGACATCCGTTACCATCCCCGTAACGTCACTTGTCGACGCCAGTCCATAACTGCTCCCCCCAGCAGGGCCGACCCTTAGGCCCTCATCCTTGACTTCGAGGAGGATCAGCTCATCAAGGTGTGAGGTCGAGACCGACCCCTCGGGGTACTCCTCCACCTGGCGAAGCAGGGAGTCCCCACTGTCATCTGAGGATGTGCTTGGTGTTGCAACTTCCTCAGGGTCTTCCCTAACTGTGGAAGTGGAGACCTCTAACTTGTTTGGCCGGCATGATCTGAAAATAAGCACAAAATGGGTCGAGGTAAGTACCTAGTGGTTGAGAGGCCAAAAAAAGAATCAGGAAAGAAAAGGCTCAGGACAAAATGATCCTAGAGCCAGGAACTTCGACACTAGGCTCACACAGCCCAGAAATGGGTTTTTAACTCGAAAAGAGCTCACCAGGGTCCCCAGGGACCCATAAGTGAGTTTGAGAACCCTGACGTGGTCCACTGAACCCAAGTAGGTGCTACCACGACAGTATTCAACCCAAATTAACACGACATTATTCAGGTAAGTTCATTTTTTGGTTATGTGAACCTTTATAGTGTTAGTTTTTACAGAACCAAGTCCAGAATCACACTAAGAAATGAAAGGGTGCCAGAAGACTTACTAGTTCTTGAAGAAAGCCTTAGAACTGAGAAGGAGAATCACGAATAGGTGGTGCACCCGGAGATTGAAGTCGGAGACGGTGGTTCCTGGTGAGAATTCGGCAGATTAACAGTGTTCTGAAGAATGGATAACCATAAAATTGTGTCAAGGGGCATATATATAGGCCCGGGGAGGGAAGCTCAAGAGACCGAGAAGTCCTAATGACGCCAGATCTCGACCGTCGAATTTGAACCGACCTCATCCAACGGTGAACCCGAAAAGACGTGATCGAACGGCTGGGATAAGAGCGGGAGAAATAAATATGATCAGACGGTTGCAACTTTCCCCTCGATTGTCACATGTCGCCAGGGTATAGGGACGTGACCGTTGACATGATTGACGAGACTGTTCCACTGCCTGAGGTACTCGCTGTAATGATGGTGCAGTACCTACGAGCGGTCACCGTAGTCTACAAGAGGGAATCTTCCATGTGGATCTCTCGACGCTACATAGCCTGGAATATCACAACGCGACATCCCATGCTAGGGGGTAATTGTTACACCACAGTTGAGGGATCGACCTTTCCTCTAGGTGACAAGCGCCGAGGACTCCCTGTTGAGGACCGGTCGCTGGCGTCGAGGGAACCAGTGTGTCCAGAGTGCCCTTTAGACGTCGAGAAGTCACGTGCGCTGATGCGCGTCGAGGGCCTAGCCCATGTGGTGAGGACTCGACGTCGAGACATCAGACCGGTCAAATCCGCTGTCAGTCCTGGGGAAGATACACTGTATCACCTACCGCCACTGTTGGAGTCAGGAAATCAAGCATCGGGTAAAGAGTGGTTAACCTGACCGGGAAGCAATAATCAAGGAAATCCAGCTACCAAATCTCCAAATTAAGGGATAGAGGTTGATCTCCCCGGAAAGTGCAGGGGGTTTTTCACATGTATAAGGCCTATAAAGAGAGCCATAAAAGTTCATTAAGTTTTTTACGCTCTTACTTAAAGACTTCTACAGAACTTGTAATCTACAACATATTAGTGCATGCACAAGTGGATGTAGGCAAATAATTTTAACCGAACCATTATAAACTCTCGTCTCATTTACTTATTCAGTACCATTAATCCTTAATTAAGACGTGAGTGATTAGTGTGAGTATTCTCGAAGAGTTATAATTTTTTGTTGATTAAAATCCACCATCAACAAATATATTTTTTTTCCCCAACCAAACCTGGTATATCATCTTATCATTTGGTTTGGTGAGAGTAGTTAAAGTCAACTATGTATATCCAAAATATTTATTCTCATCCGTTTGTTTTGTTTTGATGGAATTCATCCGTTTGTTTTTAGTAATCGTAACGTCTGAATAAGGCTTTTTTTTTTTTTTTCCCCTTCCAAATTTATATTATCGTAATAAAACAAACAACGCTAATCATCACTTTCCACACCACATGGGATGAAGCGGCTAGAATTCTATATAATGAAGTATGGACACATGAAAGTGTTAAAAATTAATTTTGAGATTTTTTAATTAATGTAGTAGTTGAACCTTGATTATACTTTAAAATTTTCTACGCGGTTGTATTTCTTTTTTAAGACTGTAAGTTGTTGTCTTTCGATATGCTCAAGTAATACAACACACCTTTTTATCTTCCCATCTTCTCTCCTTTAACGTTTTCTCCGATTTCTTTTATTAAAAAAATCCATCAGAAAGGCCACATTTTGTTTAAATATAAATCACAGTCAAATCTCTCTCTCTCTCTCTCTCTCTCTCTCTCTCTCTCTCTCTCTCTCTCTCTCTCTCTCTCTCTCTCTCTCTCTCTGTTGTATATAACTAGGAAAAATGCGCACTATAACTAATTTTTGTTGTTGAAACTTGAGAGAGATCAAAATGGCGGAGAAGGAAATGGAAACATCAAGCCACTGCTTGGTGTTGTCCTACCCAACCCAAGGCCACATCAACCCTCTGCTCCAATTCTGCAAGCGTTTACGCCACAAAGGCCTCCACGTGACCCTCGTCACGGCCAAGTCCATGCTCAAAAACCTCCACGTGACCGCCGCCTCCCTGATATCCATAGATACCATCTCCGACGGTTACGACGACGGTGGACTCCGACAAGCGGGGAGTACCGACGCTTACTTAGACCGCTTCTGGCGAGTTGGGCCAGCGACTTTGGCCCAACTAATTAAGAAGCTATCGGGGGCCGGTCGACCGGTCGACTGCGTAGTTTATGACTCCTTCCTGCCTTGGGCTCTCGACGTGGCCAAGGAGTTTGGACTGGTCGGAGCTGTTTTCTTCACCCAGTCTTGCACCGTGGACTGCATATATTACCACGTCCATCGAGGGTTGCTAAGAGTCCCGGTCTCGGAGTCCGGGATTTCGATCCCCGGGTGTCCGCCATTCCGGCCTTCGGACTTGCCGTCGTTCGTGTATGATACGGTGTCGCACCAGGCTGTCATCAAGATGGTTGTGGATCAGTTCTCCAATGTGGAGAAAGCTGATTGGGTGCTTTGCAACACGTATTATGAGCTGGAAGAAGAGGTGAGCGCCGTACAATGCTATTCAATTTAGTATTATATGCTATAAACTGAATAACTGATCTATACTGATGGATAGATTTAGGGGTGGTAAAAGTGTAAGGACGTATATGTATATGTTTTTAGTATAATTGCAAGAAAATTTTAGATCGGAGGTCATAAGTTCTATCTCTTATTGTGTCAAAAATTTATATAAATTGGGAAAGAAATTTAATATAGGGATAAATTGATATGTTTGGACAAACCAAAATCAGAAAAGAAATAAATTATGAGATTTTTTTTTTTTTTTTTTTAAAGTCGGAGATGGATTAGAGCGATAAAATAATTGCCCTTGCCTTTAATTTTATGATTTAAGTTCCATAATATACTTTTATGTACTTTTTGTGAATTAATTAGCTACCCAGCCAGTTTTGTTTGTTTACCATCTTCTCATGATAAGAGCATTGACGTAAATTTCAAAATATTGATCATGTATTCATGTGAAAATATTTACTTAACCCAAATACATACATATATACAGGTGGCTAACTGGATGATGAAGATTTTACCCCTGAGGACAATTGGACCAACAATACCGTCCATGTACTTAGATAAGCGACTTGAAGGCGACGATCAGTATGGTTTCAGCCTTTTTCCATCACAAAGTGAAGCTTGCCTGAAATGGCTAAACTCACGCCCAAAAGGGTCCGTCGCATACTTGTCGTTTGGGAGTTTAGTTGACGTTGAAGCCGAGCAAATAGAGGAACTCGCCAATGGTCTTAAGAGAAGCAACTGTCACTTCCTCTGGGTGGTCAGAGCATCAGAAGCAGATAAGCTCCCAAAAGGGTTCGTGGATGACACATCTGATAGAGGTTTAGTCGTTTCTTGGTGTCCTCAGTTAGAAGTTTTAGCAAACGACGCCGTCGGATGCTTTGTCACGCACTGTGGTTGGAACTCCACTTTGGAAGCCCTTAGTTTGGGAGTTCCTATGGTGGCTATGCCACAATGGAGTGACCAATTTACTAATGCAAAGTATATTGTGGATGTTTGGAAAGTTGGACTTAAAGCTCCGACAGCTGATAAAGGGATTGCAAGAGGAGAAGCCGTTGAAAATTGTGTGAAGGAAATAATAGGAGAAAGAGGAAAAGAGATGAAAAGGAATGCAATCAAGTGGAGTTCATTGGCTAAAAAGGCTGTAAATGAGGGTGGAAGTTCTGATAAAAACATTGATGAGTTTATAGCAAAATTGGGTCACTAATTACCGCAATTATTATTTTTTTTCATTTTTATTTTGTTCAAATTTCACAAACACTGATCAATCGTGGACAAACTAGCCTCCTCTTAAAGCTAGTAGTAGGGTATTTCATATTGCATGATAATGTAAACCATTATTAATGACTGCCTAGATGTTATAATGTTGCAACATCTATGATATCTATCTAGTTTAATAAATAAAAATCTCTCTTGACCACTGAGCTCACTATTTTTAGATTTTATAATATTGTTCGATGCCTCTTTTCATACTGCTTTTTATTGATTATCGACCGGGAAATATACAAATACATAGAGATAACAATGAGGAATGGTGATTTTATTTTATTTTATTTTTAGTGGCTACAATGATGGTGTTAATCATGCTTCAGTATTCTGAATTTCTAATTTGATTACGATCGTTACTGGTGGTGGAACTTTTGACCGGCGGGCAGGCTCGCTGCCCGAATTTTTCGGGTTTAGCGGGCGGGCCCATATGCCGGCCCAACCAAAGTGGAAATTCGGGCTCGGACAGCCCAAACTTGAAAACCTCGCCAGAGCCCGCCGCCATGTAGGCGCCGTCAACTGCCATCCGCCGGAGTTTTTTTTGAATTTTTCCAGCCAAGCCCGATTTGCCCGAATGCCCGACTGCCAAAAAATCGTGAAAACGGTCAAAATTCCGACTGTTGGTGCCCGACCCGAATTTTGCCAAAATGCCCGACATGCCCGAATGCCCAAAAACCCGTCCAACGGCTAGTTTTTGCCCGAACACGCATGACCCGCCCGAACCCGAACCCACTGAACCCTAAACTAGCCGTTGCACCCCGAATTTTTTGAAAAAAAATCAATTTTTTAACCCAAAAATTTCCCTATAAATACCCCCCATCCCCCACATATTTTTCTCACTCAAACTCTCTCAATCCCTCTCAATTTCTCTCAATCTCTCTCAATCTCTCAAATCTCTATCACAATTTTTCCAAAAACTATCACATTATCCTAAAGCTCTCTCTCTCAAATCGCACTTATTTTTTTATAATGGATCCTTTTGGTTATAGTGGTATTCCCGTTGATGCCCAACACAACGTGGAAGAAGGACAATTTCCCACTAATGAATTTGTTACGTAAGAATCTACTAATCCGAGCCCTGTTGGACGTACTGGAGGTCATGGTCACAATGGTGATGGGTGTGGAGAAGCGGCGACGGCGAGTGCCAGTGCGACTGCGTCTGCAAGTGTTGCAACCTCTAGGAGGAAATGCAAGCGCACCTCGATAGTTTGGGATCACTTCGACATAATTGAGGAGATCAACAATGAAGGTAACACTAAACATATAGCTCAGTGTAAATATTGTTTATCTAAATTACAAGGTGACACTATTCACAGCACCACACATTTGAGAAGACACTCCGAACAGTGTCTTCAAAAGCTTAGCTAATCCGGCGGACTCGAACTCCGCCAAACACAATTATCTTTTGATCGCGCAACCGGTGGTCTAACCACTTAGAAATACGATCCGCAAGTATATCGTATGGAAGTTGCACGAATGATAGCTGCTTTAGATCAACCACTTAGTTTTGTAGAGCATCCCAATTGGCAACGATATATTAAGGTTGTACATAATCCTAATGCATAGTTCACTTCAAAAACTACTCTTAGGAAAGATTTATTAAAATTATTTAAAAAAGAAAAAGAAGCATTAATAAACTTTTTACACTCGACTAGCGGGTGTGTTGCGTTAATGATAGATATTTGGTTTAACGTTGCCAATAAAGATTATTTAGTTAAAACTGGACATTACTTTAAAGGATTTGATTTAGATAAGAGAATATTAGGTTTTAAATGTGTTCTAGGATCACATAGTGCGGATTTAATATGTAATACCATTTTAAATGTAATTGATGAATTTAGATTAAGAGATAAAGTAATGGCTATAACATTAGATAATGCTAGTGCCAATACAAAAGCAATTGAGTTTTTTGAAAATGATTTAAGTTTATTCGGTGACGGTATTATTTTCCACCAACGTTGTGCATGTCACGTAATTAATTTAATTGTTAAATCCGGTTTAAAAGAAATGGGTAATCACATTAAAAGAATTAGAGATAGTCTTGCATGGATTCAAGGTAGTAACCAAAGACAAGAAGATTGGTTTAGGTTCTTACAAGTATTAAATATACCTCCTAAAGCATTAGCGTTAGATATGCCTATAAGATGAAACTCAACTTACATAATACTTCAACAATGCATCCCCTATAAGGATGCTATAACAAACTATATGTGTGCAAAAGTAGAAGTAGAACATATAGACGCATATGATTGGCAAATTGCCGAAGTTTTGTATCAATTTTTAGGTAGGTTTCATGAAGTGACTCTAAAACTTAGTAGAACATATTACCCAACATCACCTTTAGCTTTAGGAGAACTTTTACGAATTAGTATTTTATTTAGCGAATATAGGGAGGATCCAATCTTAGCAGTTTCTATCCATTCTATGGAAAAGAAATTTATAAAATATTAGTCTAAGTTGCCATTGTTGTATGGTTTAGGTACTAGTTTTGATCCTAGATTAAAATTAGAAGGTTTAGAAAGTGGTTTAGAAAACTTAGGTGAATTTTTAGGCATCAATTGTAAGGACCAATATCCAATAATAAAGGAAAAAATATATTCGATCTATAGTAAACATGATATTAGGTTTAGAGTACCTCCTAGAGTACAGGAACCGCAACAACAAGAAGAAAACCCGCATTCATTCTTGAACGTTTTCGGGTTGAAGAAGAAGAAGAAGAAGACAACTCAAACAGAAGCTGGGAGTGAATCTTTGTTAACAAGTGACAGTGGCAGCGGCGGCGGCAGCTTCAACGAGCTTATGGCGTACCTCAGTGAAGGCTTAGTAGTCAACGGTACAACATAATCGTTTGACTTAGTTCAATTGTGGAGGGCACGGACATTAACTTGGCCAATCCTAACTCAATTGGCAATGGATATATTTTCAATCCCAGTCTCCACTATCTCATCCGAACAAGCCTTCAGTACTACAGGAAGAATACTTGAGGAACGCCGGAATGCATTATAAAGGGATATTGTTGAAGCCTTGGTTTGCATTAAGGATTGGGATCGGGCCGATCAACGTTTATAGGGTACAATTTCGCCGGTAAGCCAAGAATGGATCGATGAATTTAATCGATTAACATTTAATTTTGAAGACGATCCTTCAGCTTTAAATTAAATTATAAATTTGTAATTTGTAAATATGTATTTACTTTTGACATTGTATTTGTAATTGTATAACTTTATAAGTTTGTAAAATTTGTAATTCGTTACAAAATGATTGCACACTTTTTTCCTTGCCAAGTTTTTATCTCAATTGGGTTTTTCTTAATAAAGTTTTTAACGAGACAATCATGAATTACGAATTTAATATACATCATTAATATGCATGATTAATTTATTCAATTGTATTAATAATGTCTGTTGAATGTTGATTTTGATTTTTATATAATTTTAACACAAACTAATTTAATAATTATAAAAATTAAAAAATAATAAAAAAATTTCAGACTATTCGGGCGGGCTCGGGCGGTCCGGCCGGGTTCGGGCAAGCAAATATAAGCCCGCGGCCCGTTCAAGTGCATTTTCGGGCTCGAACGGGCGGCCCGAATTTTTCATGCAGGTCGGGCTCGGGCTCGGGTAAAAATTCAGTATTTTCGGATGGTCGCGGGTGGCCCGTCTAAAGTTTCAGCACTAATCGTTACTCGGTTTAAAAAATAAATAGATAAATATCTCCTTTCCTTTCCCCTTTTTTTTTTTTTTTTTGCTTATTCCCCTTTTTCCAAAAAGGGAGCAATCCATTTTCGATTGGATTTAAAACGGAGAGAGATTTATCCTTGGTCAACAAGGTTCATGGTTATTGGACTCTAATACAATTGTGAGATTAGTAATGGCCAATTAAGTCCATAGTTTTTTTTTAACCCTATTAATTACAATTGGTAGAATTAAATGCAAGGATCTTGGTGTAAATTTCATGATTGGCCTCTATTTTGCAACGACGGCTTATAATATTTCTGTTTTAGGGAAGTTTCTATATAATTAAAAAAACCGCGTCTAAAAAGAGCGCCAAAACACAACGAGTCATGTAGAATTCGACTCCTACTATAATACTGAGACCCAAAGTTTCCCTTTCTTTTGAGTACTAGTATAAGTCTGAGACCCAAAGTTTCCCTTTCAAGTCCTAGTATACGTCTAAGACCCAAAGTATAAGAAAAAGTTTCCCTTTCTAATACATATACATGAATTACGATTCAAGATCTCGATCCTCAAAATCAAAATCGGTTCCCCTTTCTCTAAAGACTTAACGATGAAGTGGGTTCGTGGAGCAACAATCGGCCATGGAAGCTTCGCCACAATCAGCATAGCAACGCCCAGAAAATCCTGTGCTGAATTCCCTCCACTCATGGCCGTGAAATCCTCCAAAGTCTCTTGTTCTGATTCGTTGAAGAACGAGAAACGAGTGCTTGATGCGATCGGAAGTTGCCCGCAAATCATTCGATGTTTCCGTGAAGCACAGAGCGTCGAAAACGGCGAGAAGTTCCACAATCTTTTCATGGAGTACGCCTCGGGAGGAAGTTTGGCAAACAGAGTCAAGAGCCAAGGCCGTCGTTTGCCAGAATCGGAAATTCGCCAGCACGCAAAATCGATCCTAAAGGGGCTTTCATTCATGCACGCGAAAGGGTTCGTCCACTGCGATATTAAGCCTCAGAACATTCTCGTCTTCGACAACGGATCCGTCAAAATAGCCGACTTCGGGCTCGCAAAAGAGTCGGGCATGGAACAAAACAACTACATGATAAGAGGTTTGGTTTCTTCGTTTTCGTACAATTTTCATGACTTAAGCTTCGTTTGGTTTACAGGTTTAAAATTTTAAATTTTATAAGAGAAAACAATCGTAGCAAAATCTTTAAAAATGGTTTAAACTGCAAACTAAACCAGTCATTAATCATTCTTTTTATAATTCAAATTATTAATTTAACATAAGAGAAAATAACGTAGTAAAAACTTTAAACATGGTTAAAACTGTGAACTAAACTCGTTCAAATTATTGGTTTAAGAACGAGTGTTGAACAAAATTTTTCTCCAACAGGTACTGCCCTATACATGTCACCGGAGTCAGTAAACAACAATGAGTATGAATCGCCCTGTGACGTTTGGGCTCTCGGCTGCACGGTGGCGGAGATGGCGACCGGAAAGCCGGTGTGGGATCACGAGGAGGGGGCGAGTGTTTGGCCTCTCTTGATTAGAATTGGCGGAGAAGAAGAGCCGGAAATTCCCTCGGAGATTTCGGAGGAAGGCAAGGATTTTCTCAGAAACTGTTTCGTTAAGGATCCGAGGAAGAGATGGACGGCTGAGATGCTTTTAAGTCACCCGTTTGTTGTGTCTGATTATGATAATGGTGATGATGCTAAAGACACTGTTCTATTAAACGAAGAGAATTGCGTATCAACTTCTCCAAGATGTCCTTATGATTTCCCAGCATGGGTTTCGACTTCGGAGCAGGAGATTTCACCAGAATTAAGTTGCTTTCCTTCGCCGGCGGATAAACTCCAGGAGTTGGTGACAGAGGAGAGACCCAATTGGTCGTTTTCCGATAGTTGGGCAACAGTCAGGAATTACAACAATTGTTGCTAGCATTTCTTTTGCTTGTAAATATAAGCTGCGAAAGACAGATTGTGTTTTTTTTGTCAATCTGATGCGTTATTTTTACATAGTGCATATTATGTACATTTTACGTAGAATATAAGTAAAAAACTTTTCTTTAGTCAAATTTTTATTCATTTTTTAATGGATTGAAGGTCAATTTCCTTCTTTCTTGGCTTAAAAATTCCAAGAAGTTGGAAACATTGCTTGGAATTGGACCCAAGACGTACGTGAATAGCCACCTTGAAAAGAGTTGTATTACTTTCGAGTTGACTCCCTGAGTTGTAAACAATTTTAACTAGCAGTACTTTTAATGTTTTTTCTTTCTTTCTTTCTTTATTTTGTAAGTATCCAAATTCCAATCTTATGCATATTTCAATTTTGAGTTGTTTATGTTTTCTTTTGAACAAGATTAAATGAGTAGGGGTGGTACCTAACTAATCATTTGCTCAATGAAATAAACAGCGACTAATGATTACTAGGCACGGAAAAGATATTTGAGATACAACGGGCGCGTTTAGAACTCGTTCCAAAATGATTTTATTTTTTGTATGAAAATAGTGAATTGGTGAACAAGATCGTGAGGTCATTGCCTAAGTCATGGAGTGTCAAGAGAACCACATTGGAGGAAATGAAACACTTATCAACTATCTCTCTTGATGATTTGATCGGATCTTTAATGACTCACAAACTTTCGCGAATGAAAGACAAGGAAGAAGATGATAAGAAGAAAAAGGGAATAGCATGAAATCATTTTTGAAAATGTGTTTGGTAGTTTTCTCAAGATATTATTTTCCGTATAAAAATAGACTCATTAATGTCTCTCTCTCTCTCTCTGCTCGAGAGAGGAGAAAATGAAAATAAAAAAATGAAAAACGACTAAAAGTCGTTTTAATTTCTCTATCATTTTACACTAAACTAAAAAATCATTTTCATTTCCCTTTTTTGCCTTTATTGCGCCAAACGCCGTTTTGAAAACGTTTTCATTTTTTTCTCAAAAAACGTGAAAAATAAAAACAAGATCAATTCCAAAAAGCCCGGACACAAAAGGACAGAGTGTCCTCTCAAAAGGAGCAACAAGAAGAGCTCTAAAAGAGATGAACTCAAAAAGGTTCTCCAAGCAACTTGGGATGAATTAGAGCTCGGAGAATCCGATAGTGATGAGCAAGAAGAAATAGCAAATATGTGCTTCATGGCCTTTGATGATAATGAGGTAACCTCAAATTCTAAACTTCATATCGAGGAAAATAGTATTATACCTTTTTCAAATGAGGATATAGAACATGCATTTCCGAATTACATGAAGAATATACTAAACTTGCTCATAGAAATGCATCTCATAGAAAAACTATAGAACTACTTAAGAAAGAAATCACATTGTTGACAAATGAGAAAAGTACGATATTATGTGAAAATGTCTCCTTAAAAGAAAAGGTTGATGATTTGACAAAGATCATTTTGAAGTTCACCAATGGAAAGAAAAACTTTGATCAAATGCTTGGTGGACAAAGATGCGTTTTCAACAAAGGAGGTATTGGTTACAAGACTCATGTAAAACAAAAATATTTTAAAAACTATTTTGTCAAAGCATCAACATCGGATTCAAAATATGTGTGCACTTATTGTAATCAAAATGGCCACACATCTTTCTCATGTGCCATTAAAAAGAACACATATTTTGAAACCAAACAAGTTTCAAGAACTAACCATCAAGGATCCAAATTTATGTGGGTACCAAAAATCAAAACTTGATTTTGCCTTGTAGGAGCCAAGAGAGGAAAAGGTCAAGTGGTTTTTAGATAGCGGATGCTCAAAACACATGACGGGAGACCTTTCCTTACTTAAAAACTTCACAAGGAAAAACGGAGGACGTGTGACATTTGGCGACAACACAAAAGGAAAAATTCTTGGAGTTGGCGATGTCGGTAATAGTGCCTCTCCCTTAATTGAAAATGTATTTCTTGTTGATAATTTGAAACATAACTTACTTAGTATTAGCCAATTGTGCGATAAGGGATACCGAGTTGTTTTTGAATCATCAAAATGTTTGATTGAAAATGTTTGCAATAATGAAGTGGTGTTCCACTGGTGTAATGTTGCATCAATTTAGTCTGGTTTTTTACATGTCGTTAGTTGTTTCATGTTTTCTTTAGTGTCCCTTCGGTGCATGCATTGTGATCTCTTGATGTCATGAAGTAGAAAAGAGCGTTAAATTATTACTAAAAATGGAAAGAACAAAAGAAAACATTATGCACAGTTCACTTCAAAAACTACTCTTAGAAAAGATTTATTAAAATTATTTAAAAAAGAAAAATAAGCATTAATAAACCTTTTACACTCGAATAGCGGGTACGTTGCGTTAACGGCAGATATTTGGTATGTCGTTGCCAATAAAGATTATTTAGCTGTAACCGGACATTACTTTAAAGGATTTGATTTAGATAAGAGAATATTAAGTTTTAAATGTGTTCTAGGATCACATAGTGTAGATTTAATATATAATATCATTTTAAATGTAATTGATGAATTTAGATTAAGAGATAAAGTAATGGCTATAACATTAGATAATGCTAGTGTCAATACAAAAGCAATTGAGTTCTTTGAAAATGATTTAAGTTTATTCGGTGACGGTACTATTTTCCACCAACGTTGTGCATGTCACGTAATTAATTTAATTGTTAAATCCGGTTTAAAAGAAATGGGTAATCACATTAAAAGAATTAGAGATAGTCTTGCATGGATTCAAGGTAGTAACCAAAGACAAGAATATTAGTTTAGGTTCTTACAAGCATTAAATATACCTCCTAGAGCATTAGCGTTAGATATGCCTATAGTTGAATATTCTCATGTTTTGATGATCACAAACACAATGTATTATGTCTCTAATGATTCTATTTTGAGTTGTGTATTTAGCGTAATTATTGTTATAAATCAACTCAAGAAGCATTTTACAGAATACAATGTAAATACATTCAAGATTGACAAATGCAAATTGAAGAAGGAATTCAAG